AGCTCAACTGTCAGGTTTAAAGGCATGTGTGGGAGTCTGCCCCAGGAAGGCCAGGGCTTAGGGTTTAGGGTTTACTGTTTAGGGTTTGGGGTTTAGTGTTTACTGTTTAGGGTTTAGGGTTTACTGTTTAGGGTTTAGAGGGTATAGGGTTTAGGGTATAGGGTTGCTACTCTGCGCAAGAAAGAAACCCTTGGTCTCTCTGTATCCCTGCCAGCTCGGCAACCAGACCGCACATGGCCAACGACGGCACTCGAAATACTTCGCGGACGCATTCCCGGCTTCGTCTTCCCAGGGCGCTCGGGAGCAAGCAGCAGCGGCATTTTTCCCCCCAGGGTCCCATCCTAAAGTTGGTTGCAGGCTGTATGCAAGGGAACAGGGGCTTGCACTCCTAAAGCCTAAAACCGAAACCCTAAACCCTAAACCCTACACCCTAGACCCTAAACCCTAGCGTCGTGTCCCATAATCCATGTCTTAAAAAACCAAGTATATCCCATTTAGGCACATGGATCCTTAGGGTGGGGGCTGAGGTCTTTGTAAGGCCCCCTGAAGCTGCGGAAAGCCTGAACACTCCGCTCTCACACCTTCCTCTACTGCCGTTGGAAGCCCTGGTTTAGGGTTTAGGGTTAAGGGTTTAGGATTTGGGGTTTAGGGTTTGGGGTTTAGGACCTAGGGAGCAACTTCTTACTTCAAGGGGTACACAAAGGTTGGTCAAGAACGGGTCTGCTTCTGGCTGGCCCCCAAAGCGCCAAGCTTAGGGGAAAGGCTGCAACAAGGATCCCTAAACCCTGAACCCTGAACCCTGAACCCTGAACCCTGAACCCTGAACCCTGAACCCTGAACCCTCAACCCTAAACCCTAAACCCTAAACCCTAAACCCTAAACCTCCTGCCGCTGCTGCCGGGGTCCGGCAGGCCGGGCACTATCCCTTCCGGACAGGCGCCCGAGGCCGGCGCCCTCGCCGCCTTCTGGGAGAACTCTCCGACGAATGCGTGTAGCTAGGGGTGTCTTCGGCAGCTTCACCCTGGGTTCTTCGGTTCTTCCTCAGTGTTCATGTTTAGGGTTTAGGGTTTAGGGCTTGTAGGGTTTAGGGTTTAGGGTTTAAGGTTTAGGGTTCGTGGCCTACCTGTTCTGCCTCCGTCCGTCCGTGTCCGCTGCACATTTGTGGCCATGACATTGCAACACACCTCCCAAAGGATTGCAAGAACATTTTCTTCAACAGCCTGCAGGCCTGAATCCCCCACCGCCCTTCAAGAAACACTCTTCTTAGGCATGCCTTGTGGGACCCAATGAACCCTAAATTGCGGTCATATACCATAATATATATATATATATATATATATATATCCTGAGAACCCCCCCCCCCAGCGTGCCGCCAAAAGCACGCCCCTTAACCTGCATTTGTACAACAACGCGCCTTGCGCTCATTTTTTTTATGGCTGGCTGCGACTGGCTCAGCGCTGGGCGTAACAGGTCACACCGGGGCGCCTGGCTGCTGGCCAGCGGATCTCGCGCCCGCAGCCGGACATTCCGGGAGTCCAGGTGAGTTTGAGAGACAGAGTCAGAACACTTGGCATACTTGGTAGCCCAGTAATCACATTACAACAAGGGCACCCCTTTCTGGGTTGGCCACTTTATAAGGGAACCTTGAACCAAAAAAGGGAAAACGGTACCACAGGGCTACCAAGCTACACACGAAGAATTGCACCGTGCGCACATGACAGTCTTTAGGGAAGCCCGGAGTTCTCCTTTCCATGAACCCTTAAGAAGATCCCTGCATTCTGCGGATCTCTGAACCCTACCTCAGAACCCCAAGAATACACGAACGTAGCTTACCCAAGAATCCTGCGAGGGGCTTTGAAGTAAAAACCCTACAACAAAGCAGGTTTTGGGTTCTTAAGGTGAAGCATCAATATCCCCTGTTCTGGGAACATCCCACCCCCTCGACGCCAGCGGGCCACAACACCACCAGAAGGGAGAAATTTACAACCAGAACCGCCGAGTTACAACTAGGCATTTCTCAGGGTCTGGTTGTCAATTACCCTGATTCTTCCTCCGAACCCCCACTCCTCTCCCTTTCTGTCTCAAGGGGGTACTTTAGGTTTTTGTTGTTTTGACTTTTGGTGTCCAGTTTGGGCATGCCAGATCCGACGCAGCAATGCAGCGCGTGACACCGCCAAACACGTGCAGAGGCGATGGCTGTCAAGATATCAGGGGGCCATGCACACAGCACAGCGCCGGTAAGATTGCCGACTCTGGATGAGAGATGGTATATTATATAGTATATATATATATATAGTATATATATACATATATATATATAGTATATGTATATATATATATATATATAGTATATGTATATATATATAGCATGTATAGTATATATAATATATATAGTATATATATATAAGTATATATAGTATATATAGTATATATAGTATATATAGTATATATAGTATATATAGTATATATAGTATATATAGTATATATAGTATATATAGTATATATAGTATATATAGTATATATAGTATATATAGTATATATAGTATATATAGTATATATAGTATATATAGTATATATAGTATATATATATAATATGTATTTATATATATATATATATATAGTATATATAGTATATAATATATATATAGTATATATAGTATATATAGTATATATAGTATATATAAATATATATATATTATATAGTATATATAGTATAGTATATATAGTATAATATATATATAGTATATATAGTATATATACTATATATATATATATATATAGTATATATAGTATATATAGTATATATAGTATCTATACTGTCTATAGTATATATAGTATAGTATATAGTATTAACGCGTGTAGTCAGTGCATGCCGCAGCCATCGCGATGTGAATGGCGACTCTCAATTCTAATGGAAATAGAAATGGAAAGTGTGCCGGGTCTGCGTCAGACTCCTGCTCTGCTGTTACATCCTAACATGTGCCCCTTTGCGAATCAGATGGATCATTCTCTGAATTCGGGTCCCTTTGCGGGGGGGCGGGGGGGGTGGGGGGTCCTTCCGTTTAAGGGTGCTGTAGTATTGGACCCCCCAAAAGGGTAATTTAGAGATCCTGAAACATGAGCCCTCTTCAACCCTTCGACCCACTTCCTTGGCTCTGTTGTCTTCCGATTTTCGATAAGAGAGAGGCTGAGATCCCAGTCCCTCTCATCCGCCTGGAAAGAGGAGCCCATCCTTTACTAGTCAAGGCATTCTGGGCCCGTTTGCTTGGCTTAGGGTTGTTTGGCTTAGGGTTTACTTACGGGTCTAGGAACATACCACAATGAACCCTCCAGGAGATGTCCCTGAGCAACTTCCTGCTTCGCAGACAGCACTTTCCGGCAAAGCAAAAAGCCCACAGGGGCGGGCGATCGGTGCAGTCGCCTGCCCATGCCTCTTTTTGAACGCAACACAAGAGCCCTAAACTCTCAAGACGAAACCCTGACTCAGCCCAAAAAAGTCCTGTAAACCCTATCAACCCTAATCCAACCTGATCATTCACCCCTAATTCAACCCCCGAGATCACCAGGGCCGGCCCCTTTTCAACTCTCACGAAACATCGTCTGACATAAGATCCTCTTGAACCCCGAGATAGCCACGACCCTGGGAAGTTGGGACTCTTCAAACTTGAGGCTTTTGAGGGTTGTGGTTTCAGCTGATAGCTGCGGGGGAAGGTGCAAAACCGAAAGTTGGGGCGCTACGGATTTATTCCCATGCCCCCTCCCCTCCCCCCCTCCCCCCCCCAAAACTTCAAGGCTACCCACTTAGCTACTTCGCCCACTTCGGTTTAGGGTTTAGGGTTTAGGGTTTAAGGTTTAGGGCACAACCAGACTAACCCCCGAGCCCTCTGTGGGAGGACTTCTCGCGAACTTCGGAGCTGGAGGGAGCAAAGGAGGAGCCAGGTTGCGGCAGGGGTTTAGGGTTTAGGGTTTAGGGTTTAGGGTTTAGGGTTTAGGGTTTAGGGTTCAGGGCCCTTGGGTACCCTTTCACTCAAAAGCCCAACACGTTGTTAAGGGTTCAGGGCTTTAGGTCTTCTAGGGTTTGTAGGGTCTTGAGTTGTCTTGTCGGGTGATATGGGGTTCGACAGGCAATTGTTCCAACCGGGCCCCTCCCAATGCCCCTGCGATCTCTTACCCACCACGAGTGGGATCCAAAACGCAGTTCTTAAGGAACTTAAACTCAGCTGCCATACAAGGGTACAAAATTATCTACTCAATCTACTCCATTCTGGGAACTTAATTTGAGCTCCGTAACAATAAGGTAATATTCTTTGCTTTACTTTGGTAACTCAACTTAAGTTCCTTAACCAGAACGCAGCAAAATAAGGAGGTTTCGTACCTCCCACTCACCGAGCTTCCATTGGCCTGGCCCAGAAGCTCTTCCACTCACCAGGTTAGGATTAGAGCATTTTGGGGGTTTAGGGTTTAGGGTTTAGGGTTTAGGGTTCAGGGCCATGTCTTTTTGGGGGCCTCGTGAAGTTGTGACAGGCAACTACCATGATCATTCTTGGTTTGGGGTTTAGGGTTTAGGGTTTGGGGTTTAGGGTTTAGGGTTTAGGGTTTGGGGTTTAGGGTTTAGGGTTGGCCCTACCGCTAGCCCTTTTGCCACAGACTTCCTGGTAGCGCGCTGCTATAACCTAGGCCTTAAACCCAAAACCCCAAAACCCAAAAACCCAAAAACCCAAAAAACACCCAAAAACCCAAAAACACCAAAAAACCCCAAAAGCCCCAAAAACCCCAAACCCAAAAACCCCAAAAACCCAAAAACCCAAAAAAACCCAAAAACCCCAAAAAACCCAAAAGCCCCAAAAGCCCCAAAAACCCCAAAAAACCCAAAAACCCAAAAAAAACCCAAAACCCAAAAACCCCAAAAACCCCAAAAAACCCAAAAAAACCCAAAAAAACCCAAAAAAAAACAAAAAAAACCCAAAAAAAAACCCAAAAGACCCAGTGCCAAGGGGACCTCAGCTGGCCGGGTAGCCGGCTGAATCATCCGACCTCAGGCACGAACTTCCGAGCTCGGAAGGCCAAATTCTGAGATCAATCGTTTTTTTTTTTTTTTTTTTTTTGTTTTTGTTTGTTTTTTGTTTTGTTTGTTTTGTTTGTTTTTTGTTTTTTTTTTTGTTTTTTTTTTGTGGGCGTTCCCTGGCTTTCAGGAGCGCCTTTGGCGCCTTCTCTCAAAATTTGATGGGGCGTTCCAGGTTCGCAGATGCAACAAAAGTTAAAGGCCTTCTATGTAAAAGTGCGTTCCGGCAGCTCCCTGGAAGCCCCAAACCCTAAACCCTGAACCCTGAACCCCAAACCCTAAACCCGAAACCCTAAACCCAAAACCCTAAACCCCTAGACCCTATGCTAACCACGAAGGCCCGTATATTAGAGGGGGTTCGTTAAGGTCAGTTTGGTTCAAACCGATCATCCTACATTCTCGGAATCCGGCAGCCTCGCGTCTGCCGGAGCTCCACTTGCCTCTCAAAAAACGGCCCCACACCCAAAAGGGGTCCTTCTTCCTTGGGTTTTGGGTTTGGGGTGTAGGGTTTAGGGTTTACGGATAAGGGTTTCGGGTTTAGGTGAGGGTTTTAAGGGTTTTTTAGTGTTTAGGGGTTTAGGGTTTGGGGTATAGCAGTATCCTTCTTCCTTGGGTTGAGGGTTTAGGGGTCTGGGGTTTAGGGTTTAGGGTATAGCAGTATCCTGCTTCCTTGGGTTTAGGGTTTCGGGTTTAGGGGTTTAGGGGTTTAAGGGTTTAGGGTTTTAGTGGTTTCGGGTTTTAGAGAGTAAATTTAATATAAAATGCAAAGAAACGAAGTGAATGCGCGATTTTAATATTAAATGTACGAACGAAGTACATTATTTCCCCGGGTCTATATTATTCTTTTCTTACTGCCCGGGCATGCTAATAATAAAGGTTTTTGTTTCGTTTACTTCGTTCGTGCTTACATTCACTGCACGCGTCATTCTATTCCTTGTCAGTTCATTTCATTCTCACTTCGTATTAATATTAAAAGAGCGTTGTGATCACGGATACAAATGAAGAGAGTGAAAAGAACGTAATGCGTGAGCCGTGTGAACTAGCAAGCCCAAGAACTATTCTGTGAGGTCAGTTGTCAAGGTCTTCCAGAAGGTTAAGGGGGCACTTTTAGTATATTTTATAGCCCCCTTAAAATCCCCCACTTCGTTCAGAGGGGTTAGGGTTTAGGGTTTGGAAGGGTTTTGGGTTAAGGGTTAAGGGTTTAGGGCTTCTTCCTTGTGGGCGGAATGAACCCCAAAATTGGGGCCATATACCCTTGTACTACGGTCATCTAAGGTTTATCTTTAAGGCCTGGCGTCTGCAGGGGAGTTCAGGATCAGGGTTTAGGGTTTAAGGTTTAGGGTTTCTGTTCGGTTCAGGACAGGTTGAAGAGACGTGACTCAACCAGTCGTCTAAGCGGATGCCAAGTTTCTTGTCTCAAGGTTTCGCACGTGTTTGGAGGGCTTAGGGTTTAGGCTTTAGGGTTTTGGGCTCTGGGTTTCGCACGTGTTTGGAGAGGACTCTTTTCGCCATGGCTGCCTCCAAGTGTGTAGGCGGGGGTCTGGAGCCCAGAAGCCCTCAACAAACCCGAAAACTCTTATCCCCACTCTACTGTAAGGCGAAGGAAGAGAAACCTAAAAACACCAAATTCCCAAAACACCCTCCAAGCCCTCAAAGAATCCCAAACAAGCCCTGAAAGAAACCCCTAAACCCTCAACCCTAAACCCTCAACCCTAAACCCTAAGCCTTAACCCTCAACCCTAAACACCCCAAAGAGCCCACCTCACTGGGTGCCGCAGCGCTGGCGCCGGCAGGACTCGTCGCACCTTGGAACCCCCTCTAATATAAGGGCCTTAATGAAAAGGGTTTAGGGTTTAGGGTTTAGGGTTTAGGGTTTAGGGCTTAGGGCTTAGGGCTTAGGGTTTAGGTTTTGGGGGACAATCTAGAAATTTATAAAGGGACCATAAGGGGCATATTGTTAATGTTTTTTTCCGACCCCCTATGTTACCCCAGGCTGCTGCCCAAGGGCGCTTTAAGGAAGGGTCTTGAGGCGTGCTTGGGTTGTGGCTTGGCTCTTCACACTTTGCCCAAACCCTGTTTGGCCGGGGTTCTACGAATTACGCCAGGGCAAAGTGCAAAGCATCGAAAACTCGTGAACCCAGATCTTCATTTAGAGGGCTTTTGTGTGAACCCGAAGCCCCATATGCCCTAAACCCAAGCTTAGGGGGATCGCTTGGAGGGCTTGTTTTTTCTTTTTTTGTGGGGGGGGGGGGGGTGGGGGAGTGCTTATAAGACTCCTCCTTAGCATCTCCCTATACCTCTCATAACTCTAGGAGCCCTAATCAGGAATTCCTGTTCAGGAGCTCAAAGCAAACTGCCGTGTTAAGGGTACTGGGTAGCCTGCTTTTTGCTCCTTAACAAGGACCTGATCCGAATCAAGGGAATATAGGTTAATCATGGGCTCGTAGAGGCATATACTCCACCTAACGCCGAGCCCTAGAACACAGACCTCCTCAATTCTGAACCCCAAAAACCCTACAACCCTAAACCCCAAACCCTAGACCCAAAAATGGGATGCCTGGGGGGGGGGACTCTCCGGCTCAGCTCCTTTCTTCGATCCTGCCATCCATGCTCTTGGTGAGACGCTGCGCGAGGCTTTGATTCGGCTGGTCCTTGAAACCTTAAACCTGGGCTGCCCAGTAACCTAGGCTTAAAAAGGGTGCCCGTTTTTTGCTAAAAGGGGTTTATAAGGGAACCTAAACCTCCCCCAAAAAGGAATAAGGGCAATACTGGGCATCCAAGAAAACCTGATTCAAACCCTAAGCCCTAAGCTAACCCTAGACGCCAAATCCCAAACTCCAAAGGTCGCCGCTTTGAGAGCAGAGAGCTCTGGCTCTGTGGAATTACATCTTGAACTGAAACCCATTGAGACTTTGTTTTGCGTGTGCTTGGGTCCACGCATGGTTGGAAGTGCCACAAGTCGGTTCCAGTTGGACGTTCACTTCTGACAAAGCAGCCAGATCAGTGGTTTTTTAAGCGGCTAATCTTGCCACTTCAAATGCTACGCTGTTAGAAGGTGTGCCACCTTTCCCTAAAATAAGCCCTAAACTCAAACTGCTCAGGTTTCGGTTTAGGTTTAGGTTTTTGAGATTTTGCTAGACCATGAAACCCACAAAGCCATCTAAAGCCATCCAAGCCCTCGCTTGAAGCTTCTCTGGTTGCGGGGGGCCCTCAGGACGCTGGCCGGGGCGTCAGGTGCACGTCGATCCGCAAGTCCTGCGGGCGACTTTAGAATAGGATACTACTCTCTGCGCCCCAGATCTGGGATTTGGTTCTGAAAGTGAAGGGCTCTTGCGGCGACCCCCCCTTGGAGCAAGGATCCGGCAAGTGCTGGCGCAGCTGCGCCAATGCCCCAACGCAGGAGACCTCGCATGGGAACATCGCCAGGGGTTGGACGAAGATCTAAGAAAAACAGAAAGAAAGGAAGCATCCGATTGATGCCGAACATTCCCCCCCCCGGCCCCAAAAAGTCTTTGCAGCGATCATCTGGGAATGGGTATATGCTCCGAAACTCTCCAGGATTCTTCGCCTATTTTTTTTCCACGATTCGAGGGGATGAAGAGTTTGGGGTCGAGTTTGGAGCTTAGGCTGTGCCTCCTCATTCGAAGCCCCACACCCCCCTACCCCAACTTCACCCATTAAAAATCCGCACGTCGGCTCACCGGTCATTCAAGTGGTGGATTTGCGCACCCAAAGTCGGACCCCTGAGCCACTGGAGCCCTGAACTCCAATCTCCAACCCTAAACCCTCAAGCACGCAGCGTATAAATCAACCCTGAAACCCCCAAACCAAAAACCCCAAACCCCAAAACCCCAAACCCCAAACCCAAAAGCCCCAAACCCTTCCCCTTCAAGAAAGCTCCGTGAAGAGGTGCGCAGGGCGTTCCGGCGGCGGCCAGGCGCAGGAGGGGCGCGGCCGAGAGCTCCGCCCTCAAAGGCGCCAGGGCTTCGAGAACCTGGCGGAAGAGACTCTCTGGTTTAGGGTTGGTTTAGGGGTTCAGGGTTTAAGGGTTTAGGGTTTAGGGGTTTAGGGGTTTAGGGGCTTAGGGGTTTAGGGGTTTAGGGGCTTAGGGGCTTAGGGGTTTAGGGGTTTAGGGGTTTAGGGGTCTCGGGTTTGGGGTTTAGGGTGTTTGTGGTGGGGGCTTAACTAAGGCTTTATCGCCCTTGGGGGTCCAGGCGCTTATATAGGGCTTGAGCTCTCTGTCTTTCGGATTCTCTCTTAAATCCTGAACTCCCAGACCCGGAGGGCCAAACTTGCCGAAAGCAACATGCAAAGTAGAATGTCATGGAGACCGCTGAAAAGGACCGTCATTCAGATCTACCCGCCCCCAGAAAACAAAAGCCTCCTCCCCGAGACTGTCGGGGGCCTGGAAGAGGCAGCACTGCGTCCGATCCACCACCGGCCCTGCCTTTGTTTAGGGGCTCAGTGTTGAGCATTTTGTGTTAGTTTTGACCTTTTTGGGGGGGAGCTAAACCCTAAACCCTCAACCCTCAATCCTCAACCCTCAACCCTAAACCCTAAACCGGGGGGGGTGGGGGTGGGGGGGGGGGGGTGAGGGAGGTTGTAGCTCCGATATGCAGGATTGCCACGCTCGGAGATTCAAGGGTGTGAGGCCTTTTGCCCTGCACGTCTCCCGACAGTCTCCCTAAAGCCCAGAAATCCAACAAAAGCCTAAGACCCCAAACCCTGAAACCCAAAAACCCTAAACCCTGACAGAAACCCTAAATCATTAACTAAACCCCGCAAAGACCCAACAAAAAGCCCTAAGCCTGTCCTGGGACTAAAGTAGTAATAGCCCATACAAGTGCAGCTAGTCCAAACCCTAAACCCTCAACGCTAAACCCTAAATCCTAAACCCTAAGCCCTAAACCCTAATCCCCAAACCCTAAACCCTAAACCCTAAACCCTTCATCCCCGCTTGCGTTTTCGACTCCCAGTCGCCCGCAATTGGCGAACGGGACAGAGCCACGTCGCCCGCAGCGGGGGCAAGTCCTCCGTCTCCTGAAAAAACAGGTGCGAGATACACTTGGGCTGTTAGGGTTGTTGGCGGGGGGGGGGGGGTGGGTTAGGGTTGAGGATTCTAGGGTTTAGGCTTTGGGGTTTTAGGGTTTTGGGCAAGCACTCCGTCTCCTGAGATACAATTGGGTTTTTAAGGTTTTGTATGGGTTGGGGGGGGGGGGGGGGGGGGGTAGGTAGGATTGCAGGGTTTCGGGATCAGGGTTTTAGGTTTTGTTGGTTATAGGGCTTTAGGCATCCTAGATCGAATTCGAAACCTTATTCCCGTAACTCCTGCTTGATCGTTGTCAGACCATGATGAAGCTTATCAAATTGAGTTCGGGTTAAGGGTTTCGAGTAGGTTGGCAAAAGGTTTGGGGTTTCAGTGTGCGGTTCCAACTGCTTCTGCACAAAGCTCGTGCCATCTCGTGCCAGTCCTCCTTGCTGACCCTCCTCTCCGGCTCCCCTGGCAGGGAATACCTCGTGCAGTCTGCATACTCCTTAGACCCTAAACGCTCCAAACTGCCATCCTCGACACCCACAACTTCTAAGCGCTGAAGGCCAGGCTGGCCACTAAAACAAAACCGGACTTCTTCCTAGATGAAGAGCACAATGGCCAGCCAAAAAGAGGCGATAGCCCCTCATTCGGAAGCAGCAAAGTGTGTTTGCTGGAGAAGCCCCCCCCCCCCCCCTAAACTCCTAAACCTATGAATCCTGAGCATGGGCTCACAAGCCTTGGTTCCCGATAGCAAGGCAACCGCAGAGGATCAAAGCCCTAAAACAGCAAAGACAAGAGCCCTGAAATGCTCATTGCGCCACACCACGCCAAGCCCAAGCTTGCGGGTTTACGCAAATAGGGGACGCCGAAAATAGCCCCCCCCAAAGAGTAGGATTCTCGTATGAGAAGGACTCCAAGAAGGTACCCCCTGATTTCGGAAACCACCACTTCACTCGAAAAAACCCTAAATCCTTTTGCACCCTAAGCCCTTTTTAGCCCTGAACCCTAACACCCTAAACCCGAAACCGCAACCGGATGGCTCAGCCCAGGCGTTGCTGCAGCAGTCGCCGCCTTCGCCTCCTCCAGGGGCTCAGGCTTACTGAGGTACAAGAAGGGGAATCCAAAAGTCCCCGCGCCCTAAACCCTACCTAAACCTGAACCCCAAACCCCAAACCCCAAACCCCAAACCCTAAACCCTAAACCCTCAACCCTAAACCCAAACCCTGAACCCAATGAACCCAATGAACCCAATGAACCCAATGAACCCAATGAACCCAATGAACCCAATGAACCCAATGAACCCAATGAACCCAATGAACCCAATGAACCCAATGAACCCAATGAACCCAATGGACCCTTAGCACACGGTTGCTTGCGGGCTGCGGTTTTTCGTTATAGGGCAGCTCGCCACACATTGGGCCTCTGGACTCCAAGGCTTGCCGGTGTCGGGTGGGGGGGATGTTTAGGTATTTAGGGTTTAGGGTTTAGGGTTTAGGGTTTAGGGTTAGGGGAACTTTGCCTGGGTCTTCTAAGTCTAGAAGGGGGCATAACATGGTGAAGCCCCCCGTCGCATCGGCTCACATTGATTGATGAAGCTGCTTACTTGAGTAGCTGGGTGCGCAAGCATTCATACTTGTCATACTTTATCTGGATATTCTATTCCATATATATATATATACACATGTTTTGCGTGGTGTGCATGTGCCCCCCCGGCCTCCATCTGCCTCCGCCACATCCTGGCACATTAATTGTGAATTGGGGCCGAGGCAGAAA